CAGTGTTTGTAACTAAGTGGCTGCTAAAAAAAAGGATGAACATACCCCATTTGCAATACGTTGGGTTATCTTCTTTTGCAAATGGTATGCCATCATGGGGGTAATTCTAATTTTGGGCTAACATACGCTCTCAAAGGCAACAAAACCAACCTGGTGAATTTCAATGTGAAAAAACTGAAACGCAAGCCTTATATTTGACTCTGTAACTTTTGAAAATACCATAAAACCTGTACATGAGGGGTACGGTTATACTTGAGAGACTTCGCTGAACATAAATATTTGTGTTTCAAAACAGTGAAACGGATGACAACAATTATATCGTCAGGGTAAGTGCCATTTGTGTGTGAAAAATGTCACTTTTCACTGACGATATTATCGTTGTAATACATTTTACTGTCTTGAAACACTAATATTTGTGTTCAGTGAGGTCTTCCGAGTAAACCAGTACACCCAATGTACAGGTTTTATGGTGTCTTGGAAAGTTACAGGGTTAATTATAGTGCTTGCAAATTACATTTTCTGCCTGGGTTGTCAGGCATGTCAGTCAAATTTTAATTAATAAAATCACATACGTATGCTAATAGATTACTTAAATATACACGTGGGAGGAGGAGCCTGAACACCAAAGTGAACGGTTGCAAGAGCCCACAGCTCCGAGCCTCAACCGGTGAAATAAACTATCAAATTAACCCCCCTTCACCCCCAAACGACAGGAGGGTACCCTGAAGCCACATCGGGTGCAAAACCAAAAAATTATGCCAACAAGCCCACCCCAGGGCTCACAATCGGGGAGACGTGGAGGCAAGTGGACCCAGCATGGCGGCTGCTCTGATTTTTCCAAGGAGCTCTCTGAAGACATAGACAAGGAATACCTACCGTAAAACTGGTGCAGACTCCGAACCAGCAACCACAGCAATCCTCCAAGCTCTATTGGCAGACCTGCAAAAAAATATCCACACAGATGTCACGGCACTGCGAGAAGATTTAAAATGCCTGACAGGCTGCAACGACAAACTGGAGGGATCCTCTCAGTCCAACACCCAGAGCATTGCAACGCTCCAACAGGCTATACAGGACCTGCAGCTGCAGAACCAACAGTATGAACGCTGCCTCGCGAGTCAGGA